CGCCTGGTGGAATCGTTCCGTAGGAATGGACGTGAAGAAGCCTGACAAGTCTTGCGACACCAGGTGGATGTACTCATCAGGATCTGCTTTTGACAGTGCTTCCCACAGCTGCTGGATAAGTTCTTGTACCGAGAGTTGACCTGCAATGTCGGGGAAGGCCGCCTTGGTGAGTTCAAATATGAGTGCACCGAAGACCGTGAGGAAGGGAGCTGCCCATGTGCGAAAGAATGAAATGATGGGTCGAGCTTTCTGCCAGTCCTTGGTCGGCTTTGGAAGGATGCGCGCTGTGGGCAACGGTGCTTGAAGTCGAAGTCCCCATGCATATCGTTGACGTAGGAGAGAAGGTACCGTGGTTACCACTTCAGAGCGAAAGGATGCTGCGGATTCGCGGCAAAGTGAGAAGACATCCCCCGCGCAGAATGTCTTCCGCATCAATATGGCAAACAGGGACGGGCACATTACATGTGCACGGGAGGGAAAATGATCCGCTGGGATAACTACCCACGAAGACAAAGAGGCCACAGTGCGTTGCAACGATGTCGATGACCAATAAGCCCGATCTTGGAGGTTCATCCGATGAGTCTCCATTAACTGAGTCACGACCGGTTGTAGATCTGAAAGTAGACCGGAACCATGTACATGCCAGCGGCGAGCAAGTTTGCGAAGTTGTGTGGTGAAACGTTGATGCAATAAGTCGACATCACCGAAAAACTGATCCTTCATTGAGGCGGCCATGATTTCAACGTTAATGTCCGCATTGATGCGAGAAAAGTCATCCACCATTACTGCGTGACCATGTGCACGGAGTAGATGGTGATCATCGATGTCCAAACAGCGACACGGAAAGGATGTGTCAGGCGTCCATTTGCGCTGCCATGTGCGATAGTTGTATATCTTGTCGCCCAATGTGGCGCTGCGAGTTTCCACAACCCGGATCTTTGGAATGAAAAGAGAAGGGAACAGATCCCGATGGGAAGCAATCCAGCTTTGTAACCATGTGCCAAGTAGAGCTTTCCAATTCTGGACATGTAGCTGCGGCAAGAGTAGCTGTGTCAAAGTGGTGGGTGGTTGTAGCCGTCGTTTGCGTAGTACCTGGGCGAGGAGCTTCTGGGCCTTGGAGCGGAAGGGTTCGTTGACAAAGACTGCGAGCCGCAATAAGTAGTACAGCTGAGTGGGAGGGAAAGCGGCCGACAGTAGGTCACGCATGACTTGGAACGACGCTCCTGTATTCGATCCCAGCTGATAGAGAATCGAGTAGTGGGCTTGAATGTCATCCAGGGTGTCAGGTCGTAGTTGCCGTTGGAGATCCGGATGTAGTCGTCGTCGAAAGCGCTTGTGCAAGCCGAGGGAAGTGGGAGCTGACAACGAGTGGCGTCGAAAGTCTACAAGATGTTCCCGGAAGCCCACCTTGCGCAAGATTCTGTGTACCCAGGGTGCATTCAAATGCGGGCGTAGCAGGTATTGCCATTTGCTTTCTTGAACCCACACCGAGGAAACTGGAAGTTTGATTTCCACTGGTACAGCACAGAAGAGCCAGTAGGTGTTGGATCGTTTCCAGTAGTGAAGCGCCGGTTCAAAGAAGGCATGTCGTCCACGAAGCAGTTGTAGAAATTTGCGACTGCGTGAGTGTTCACGACGTAGCACATCCTGATCAGTCGCCCCAACATAGTATGGTGTGTGCCATGGGGAAAGGCGAATGTAGACGCACGGTTGTTGGTGATGACCTGGATCATGTATGAAGTCGTAGAGGTCAGGAAATCGCGCCCGCAATGAGCGTAGATGTCGCGTGTCAGCGAAAGTTGAGTGCATGATTTCACACAAGAGAGAAGTCTTGTAGAAGTGGAGGACTTCAAAGAACGGCGGGAAGTAGCCGTGATCTTGTGAAATGAGACGTTGTAAGAAACTGATCAATAAATAGGCTGCGCACCGACATCTGTGAAGCTCGTATCTGTTGGCCACGGTGTGCTGAGAGTTGGACATAGCGCGATTCGGAATCTGAAGGGCTATCCGGACCACAACTAAGACCTCGAGGATGAGACCCAGCCACGGCAATTGTGTGATGGATTCGTACTCCTCAATTGGAATCGACGGTGGTGGTAGTCCAGGAAAACAGTAATGCCAGCACGTAGAGAATATGGTCAACGAGTGCAGAAGGTCGTCCAGCGACTGCCATTGTGCAACATCATCATAGATTCCGCAGCGGCGAAGTTCATCCAACATGGTGAGATGCAACCAACGAAATCTACCACAAGGCGGCGACATGAATACAAGCATCTCAGACAATCACACAAGAAGCAATGCAAGAACAAGCAAGTACAAGATCAATCAGGTGCAACGCAGACACTTGACGGACGAGTTTTCACCTGGACTCATCCGTGACATTGTTGCCGCTCCGGGCTCATATGAGAACGAAGATCATCATGATGCCTTCTCATCCGCAGAGCAGGCGAGCGGTCACGATGAGGTGACTCAATGCCTTCTCAGTGAGTTTGGTAAGATAGCCGGGCTCTAGTCCCCATGAAGCCGCCATTGCCCCGAGAGTGGGTGCATCGCCTTTCGGCATGCGTTGCCTCGCCTGAAGAAGTTGCGTCGCCATAGAATCTAATGACTTGTTGCCGTTGAGCCGGGACGGGTGATTGGCCCACTTAACCAGCGATGCCAAAGTGGTTGTTGTGGGTGCTTGCTTGAGGAAAGGCGTGGTTGGTCGCTGGTCCATGTGTAGTACTTGACAACTTCATCCGGCGTGCTGCGCATGGTGAGCAATTGTGACGCCGCCGGTTTGGACGGCGGTGACGACACTCCGTGAAGAGACTGCATGATCCGAGGTTGCACCACGCTATCAAACGACTTGCCATCTAGGGCGGCCGCGCTGGCTGTGGGAAGGGAGCTGGCAGGTGACGAGGATGGTGTGTGGTTGACCGGTGGTGGTGTAACCAACTCTGCATCATCCTTCTGGTTTGTCATCGTGGGAGAAGTCGATGCGCGAAGTGATGCGGAATACTGAGCTTGGAGAAGTTCGTGCGCACGATTCAAATCATTGAACTTTTTGACCATGTCATCGGTCTGGGCGGCAGGTGCGAGAGAGGTGTGATGTTGTTGAAGAATTTGAAGTACCAAGTTGGCCAAATGGTCGTGGACCTTGATGCGCTGATTGAAGTCATCGATGTTGAGACCCAGCGTGTTGGCAAGGTCCTTTTCCAGGGTGAGCAGGTTAAGCGACTGCGATCTTCGTAGTAATTTGGAGCAGGTACTCCAAAGTAAGGCCTCGGTGCGGGTGCGAAAGCCTTCCCACGTCACGAATCGGCCGTGCGCAAACGGCCTGAGGAGCCAGTTGGTGAGGCCCCCGTGGATAACCTGAACCAGGCGTACGTCCCTAATATCCATGCCTGACATGTCGCGAAGGTTGCCATGCGGAGTGTTGGCAACAGTCATGGGCAGGCTGAAGTTGTAGAGTTGATTGACATCAAACATGCCGTCTCCAGGTGTCCAGTCAGGCGATGGAGTAAGCCAGGCTTTCTGAGGACGAACCGGTAGAGCCGCAGGAGGTACAGGTGACGGTGTAGGTTGGGAAGTAGTGACCGGTGGTGGCATCACTGGTGGCATGAACTTGGATGGCGTGGGATCAGGAGGGATCGGCATCATGTAGTTGATCGCCGGGTATTGGAATTGTTGTGTGGGGTTGTGAGTCGATTGAAAATTGGTAGGCATCATCGGAAAGTTGTTAGCAGCGTTGTAGCCGGAGTTGTGTTGCCATGAAACCAAGTTGTTCCAATCCATGTTCTCCGAGACCTGGTTGTCATTGTGCTCACGTCGGCGTGCTTTGTGAGCTTGAGGGGACGGACTCCGATCACGTCTGCGTCGAGTCCTGGATCTATCACGATCATCACGTCGAGACATGGTGACGCAACTGACTCTGAATTTGCGCACTTCCTCCTTGAGAGAATCGGACCCGACAACATTCAAATCAATGCAAATGCAAGTTAGCGGCCCTCAACTGCAATGGTCAATCGACATGCACAAGGCAAAGCAAATACAAGTCAGCAATCATCAACCGCAGTGATACGAGCAACGAGTTCAACCAATGGTCAAGAAATGCAATGAAAATCGGCAGCTATCCACTGTGGTGAGACGTCGCTATGATCTGACGGCTTTCTTCCCTTTAGTGAAACCTCGTTCCTGATTAAATGTGAAATTCTGCTGTTCTATGATAAGCACGTTGAGGTCAAATTTTCCGACAGAGCCGGCCCGGGGTCACACAATGGGTACACCCGAGGATTCCCCACGAATGGGGTGTACACACTTGAACTCCAGATGGAGAGTGCTAATCTGTCGAGTACAACTGATGAGTCTCGAGTACAACCGACAAGTCTCGAGTAGGATGAGTTTCGGCTCGCAAGGCACTCGGTTTCCCTCTAGAGGCGAAAACGTTACAGAATCAACATGAAGCACACACAGCGAGAGAAACAACAGGCCAAAAGGACTTTACATCACCAACTCCAAATGTCGCAGGTACGCTGGGATGATCAGTCCCAGTATCACCACCGATGGCAAGTGTCTTCGTTGGCAGGAGACTTGCCATGGTGCTCCTGCCCCCTGCTGCGAAACCGAAAGGGTGGTGACAGGGCATTCTGTCACTCCGCGCACACACACACACCCATGCACGCACGCACGCACACACACACACACCCACGCACGCACGCACGCACGCACGCACGCACGCACGCACACACGCACACACGCACGCACACACGCACACACGCACACACGCACACACGCACACACACACACACACACACACCCTCACACACACACATAAGCCCTTTCAATCACATAAACAACACACAACAAAGTAAGCAACTAGGCCTCAAATGAAACGTCCAGGGCCACCCTAGGGGAGGAAACAGTACTAGGTGCCCGTGATGTTGGCAATTCCCCCAAAAAGAACGGATCCAAAACGAACACCTTTTAGGCTTCAGGGATGTGAGTCCCCCCGAGCCGGCCTTCAAGACCAGGTATCTGGCCCTCTCTGCCTGCTGCTGTGCCACCTGCTTCTGCTCTACAGCCTGCACTGCTGCCACACGTGCGTCTGAAGAACTCGCTGGTCGCGCTCTCCAAGCATGGCCTTCCCACTCTTTTACACGTGCGCCCTTGAAACATAGTGCAAACTTGCTGGAACCTGCACAGTTGGCAGCACCTTTGGCGCCAGAAATGGGAAGCCTCAGCCGTCTCATTTGCGGCCATCATCTACATAGTCTTCCGGCAACTCAGCCTTTTTCGTCAAAAGCTCCTGATTCTTGCTCAATCGCATCAGCAAGCACAAAACGCTGCAACACAACAGCATGAGTACTGCAACCAGTACTTGCTAGGGCCTACTCTGAGGATGTTATGACTGGTCTGATCTTGCGCAATGCCACAATCCGAGCCACGCAGTTGGAACGCGCACCGTAGATGGCCGTGGCGAATTCTCCATTTTGTTTGATTATTGTCAGAGTGAGCTGTCTGTTTTCATTGGGGGGGTGGGCGGCAATTGCGGCGTGACGGCCACGCTTATGAGGCCTTTTATTTTGGTTCAGGATGAGGCGCCTAAGTGGCAAGACGTGGCTTTGCCTTGCCTTGGTTCTACTCATCTGCTTGTTCAATTCGGGTCCGGTATTGTGCTGAAGTTGTTTTTTTGTTCTATTTGTTTCTGGTGGGCCCGTGGTATCTAGATCGTTTGATAGACTTGGGCGCATTGTCGGCCGAGTCAATTTGGGATATTGTTTTGGACACGGCCTGCTTGCCTGATAGGCCGCCGCTTGTTGGATTGCGCGACAGACTTGGATGGGCTGGGCTTTGACGTGCTTGTTGGAAACTCTAGGGTGGACAAAGTGGTACTCGAAACACTCAAATGGGCTCACTAGAAAATAAGCATTTGGCTGAGGCGAAGCACAAGTGTGTTTTTTTCTCCCCCGTGTTCTTTCCAGCGGGGCTAACTTGTGTTTGCACGCGAAGTGAACGAAGGCGGGGGTTAACTTGTGTTCTATATTTGGCTGTAGCTCAAAAAACCGGTACCAAACTGGAACCCTGGTAAGTGGAAGAATAGACCAAAACCTGCGTAACCCCTCCTGTTTGACTTTGAGCCACACCCATTTGTGTTTCACTGATTGTCTTTTTCCCCCGTGCGTCTTGCAGAACCAGTGGAATGAGAGTTCAAACCTAAGTTTCGGGGGCATGTGGCTAATACACCACTATGGCACGTGTACCTAGTTGAGTAACTGCCCACACCTGAAGTCAGCTATCTGACGCTTCTCCAACCCCATCCCAACAAAAAAAGCCTTGGTTAGAGAGCCGGGAGAGCTGGTAGCCCATCATTCGAGCTTTGTACGCGAGTGCTGTCAAACTGCAAACGCAAAACACTGCAAGAGTTGAGGAGGTTGAAGGCCTACAAGGAGCGTCTTCTTACGCAGCACAGGCTTAAAGCGCGTGGAACAGCTCCTCGGAGATGAATCCCCACCTCATGATGCATCAGATCCAATGCACAAAGCCCTCTGGGCTTGGATCCCGGCACTGACTCTGTACCAGCTTTCAGACACTTCTCACGCCCATTGAGCGCCTGCGACAGGCTCTTTCTGTTGATGCTGCTGCATGGCTGCATTTTCCTTGCCTTCAGCTCCACCATACAGGCACACTCCACCACCTCAGCCTAAAGATTTGGTGGCATTGAAATAAATATTCAATTTGCTGTGGGACAAAACCCTGTACCCCTGGTGAACATCAAAATAGGTGGCAAATGGATGTTCATCCACCCCCAAAATGGAGCCATAGGTTATGCCCCATGGCCAAGTTAACATGCCGGTCGCGTCGCACCTCGCACGCCTGCATGAGCTTGATGCCCGCACACAGAGTCCCTCCTTGCACCACATCATGCCCTCTCATGTCAAGGAAAAGTGCTTCAGAATCTTTTGAAGGCAAAAAGGCCAAAACGATAGAGTACGCGCAACGTCAAATCGCATGGCACAAATCGTGCATTGCGCTACGCTTCAAGTGAAGCACGTGCATTTGTCTTGCCTTCGGGCGCCCATTGCTGCCAGTTGGGCTTAGTCTGTTGGCCGGAAAGGTCAATTGGTTTGATTGTGCGCCTGCCGAGTCCCTCATCTACCTGTCCTTTTGAATCCTAGGCCCGTTGTGTGGCAAAACCGAGCAACCTTCAGAGTGATACCCTGTAAGGTCCAAATGGTCTCTGCAAGGTAAATACAGCGCATTCAAACCCAAAACCTAGACAGCGGATTGTGAGTGGCCATCCAACCAAGAGGCTTTCTTTCCGCGCTGATTTTCTTGGTGATTCTGCAAGTCCAGTCGCTGCATGTGCGCTTCATGTTGGACTTGGCAAACGCTTTTGCATCCAACGGGAGGCCACTTGCACTCGACCATTGGTTTGCTGGCATTCAAGCTTTCATACTCGGCATGGTTTGCATTCGACGATGTTCATTCACTTTTTGTGAGTCTATGCGTGTGTGTGTGTGTTCAAAACCGCCCCTGCCTTGGGTGGTTCCGCTCCGAAAATTGGCGCCCTTTGGCGTCCGCGCTGTCTTGAATACTTCTGCTACACGTAACGCCCGCTCCGAAGCGGCTGTTCATTTGCTTCCCAACCGCTTCCGCAAACAGGTTGGACTTGGCAACCTGGTTGAATGAATCCTAGGAAAACGGTCACACGCCACCAACCCAAGCTTTGACCGGGAACGACTTGAAACTCCCTGCGGCTCTCCTGTGGCAACAAGGTCATCGATGAGGATAACCCTGTCCCCCTTCACCACTGCACCCTGCGCACACCGAATTATCACTATTCCACCTCTCGCCTTCAGAACCACGCCTTCTGCACGCAGATCTCATCCACCCCTTCATACTCCTGGCTTGCTGCAATCTGCTTCTGAGAGATACTTCACAGCCTGTCCTTTGTGTAGGGGCCACTGGATATGGTGTTTGGCATTTTCCCAGCCTGACTGCCGAGCATCCAGCTCTTAGACGAGCAATCAGCCACCATGCAGGAGGCCGCAACTCAAGCAGGTCGGCCAGTGCCGTGTACTCGGCCTTGCGAAGCATCACGAAGGGGACACCCAGCTTGATTGCCACCGGCGTGAAAAGAAAGCCGCGTGCCTGCCAGTCTCCGTTTTTGTCTGGAAGAAACAAGTAACAACCCTGTCTAGACAAATCTCTAATCCGCATGGGTCAGTACTGAGCTGTACACCCTATTAAGCGCACTACCCCAAGCCCTGAAACTGGCAGATCGTGCACATTCCACTTGCCTCAAAGCCCAGAATCTTTGAAACCTTCAACTTCCGGAAGCGTCTTGCGAAGACTGCGCGAGCAAGGAAAAAGCTCACAACTCTATGATTGCGCTGACTGCCTGCACACATTGCATTTAACAGCTTCGGGTGCTCAAGCAATCCTTGAATGTCGTAGAACCTCAGATGCTGCAATTCTAACTTTGGGGCCAGAGACCACTGCGTTGCCAGCCAAGCGCCTTTCGAGCTTCTTGAAGGGGAAGTATGGAACCACATCCGCAATGGCCTGCAGGCGCATCATCATCATCATCATCATCATCATCATCATCATCATCATCATCATCATCATCATCATCATCATCATCATCATCATCATCATCATCATCATCATTATCATCATCATCAGTGCAACGGCCAAGGAGGCGGCATTCGCAGGATACGTACTGAAGCAGCAAGACTTCATGATTTAAACAAAGATATGGCTTCTCAAAAGAAAAACGTCCTCGACTTGAAGAGAAGAACACAAGAAACCCAAAACCCAGCAAGGTCACGCTCAGGCCCCTTTCAGATTGCATCTTTCCGGCTAAAACTGCATTGCTGTGGAAAAGTCAGAGTAGGCAGAATGCTATGAAAAAAATCGTTGTAGATGTTTGCCGAAGCTCCGTGACTCAAGCGTGCATACAGCTTTATGAGTGTCATGTTCACAAAATGTTTGCTTTGTCGAGACAAAGCAGTCTTGCGGGGACTGGTCATGAGTGTCGGGTTCAGTCGGCTGATGACAGGAGACCAGGCTTCGGCCTGCAAAGGCGACAGGCCAAGTTTCACCAGAATTCTGCAGGCCAACTCCCGCCACGGCTCGGCGATCTCGATCCGGGAGACGGTTCCGTGTGGGTCGGGTGTGGCTCCTTGCCTGCACCGCCCCATGCCAGGGGACTCGGCCCATGTCGTCGTAGTGCACAGAAGTGTTTGCGGCTGAAATTCCTTGGGAATGCAGCTCCTCTTGTGAAATGAGAAAGTGAAACCTACGAGCCGTTGATTTGAGATGTTGAAGATGAAGCAGAAGGATTACACAGGGTTGTTGGCACTGGAGGGAGCAAGAGTTTTTGCCTCCCGCACGGATTTGCCATTTAAGCGTCTCCTCCCAACCACAGCTGCAGGTGGATTGCTGGGCTGGGGCGCACTTGCAGTGTCAAAGTGTTTGGCATAAACTACAAGTACTTTCATTTATTAAGTTTGTGAATGTGAGGTGTGCTTTCGGTTGCTTGCGCCAGCTGAATAGATTCAAGGTCACAGCGGATGCACCTAGCCAATTCAGTCTTTCTGGCAGAGCACAGCCTTCGCCAAATCATCATCAGTGAGCTTGGGCTTGGCTGGCACCGCTTTGGCTTTGGCCTTTGCTTTGGCCTTGGCCTTGCAAGCTCAGCACATCTGCGCCTTCTGTGCCTTCTTTTGCCTTCCCTCGCTCCCGCACCTGCGGGGGAGCAGCCTGGCAGCGAGCTTCAAGGCGATCCCAAAGTTTCATCATGCACCAACCCCCGGATTGTTCAAAGTCAAGCCAATTCGTGCGCCTCTGGCTTTGGCTTCGGCTTTGGCTTCTGTTCTCGCTTCCGCGGCGCACATTCAAACTCCCAGTACTCCTGGCGTCTTTGTCACGCCAATGCGTCACGACTTGAGGCGTCTGTCCTCCAGCGCCTTCCTCCGATACTTCCCCTTGTAGTATTCCTCGGTATTTGTCGTGTCCGCACTTCATTTTGGGACCAGTGTGCAACAAAACTCATGCAACATCAACGAACATTCAAGACTCCACAAGCTCGTCCCAGGTGTAAGCTTGCCCATCTTCAGGATCAACGCGCCTCTCCTGCTGCGCAAGATCCAGCAGGAACCAATCAATGCAATCCGGTGACAGCACCTCATACGTAGCGTCCCATGCCTCGTCGCCCGCCTGGCACGCTGGAGGACTGATGCGACCGGCTGGACAGGTCAGGCCTTTCCAAGCGTCCATTTGCCTCCTCCGCCCAATTTCCTCAGGCGAACTAAGGCTGGCAAGCAGACGCCTGCAGTCCGATGTCAACCTGTCTCTAGGCACGCCACTTGGGCGGCTGCTTGACGGAAGACTTCGGATTGTTGCTGCGTCGATCCTGTCAAAGGAACCACTTCGTGTGATTCCAAGGCTCCAACTCAAGCAACCCTCTCCTTCTCCCGCGGGGCCATGGCTGCGATCGCCAACTCCACGCGTGATGTGTCTGCTGGTTGAAGTCACCATCATGGCTTCTGTGACTCAATTGACTGTTCATGACGCTGGTATCTGTTGGCTGCGAGCACCCTGCATACATGCTGCCGTGAAGGCATCTTGACACAAAAGCCCAAGTGCTTCTGGCAGCATGCAGTCGTCGCAGAAGAAACTCAAGCGTGTGCGCAACCGATAAACTCCCCGGCCTTCTCATATTCAGGACTAAAATTAAGATGGGTGATGGCAACGTCGTCCTGGCCAGAAACAAGGTGTCCCAAACAAGGCGCGACAAGTCATGCCAGCATGGCTAGGAGGATTCCAAATTCCAAGGCCCTTTGAATGAGCCTTTGTCGGATCCTGGGCGCATCCAAGCGAGTATGAGCTACTGGCAGTCTTTCTGAGATACTGGCATCCTGCTCACGAGTTCTCGCCTAAGCAGATGGATCAACGTGCGTCCGGGTGCGGCTCAAAATTAGAGAGCCGGGGTTACGCAGGTGTTAGTCTCTGGTTCCATTTACCAAGGTGCCATTTTGGCACATGTTTTTGAGCCACCATATTTCATTGTTGCATTGACAGTGACACTGAGTTGCGCACTGCGTGATGAGCTGAGACGCGTTGTACTGTGCCACAACGCTCTTGAGCACCTATGAAAGGCACCAGTGGGAAGCGGGTCCAGGCGGCGGGCAGCACACCTCATTGATGATGGAGGGCAAAACCTTCTCGTCGAAATCCAGTCCTAGAGTCCTCCAGGCACCGCAGGCACCGCGTGACATGTGCTGCGTCCACATGTCAAAGCTTCCTGTAGATATCCGGAAGCTTCGCAGTATCTGGCCTGGTGGAGGCTTCAAAAAGCGGCAGCTGTGGATCAAAACAGTCTGGGGCCAACACTTGCACAATGCTCTCAAGGAGATGTTGACCTGTCTTGTGATGGCAGTGTGGTACAGTGCTGACAGGTCTTGGTCGGAGTCTTGCTGCACGATCCGGAGTCAGAGCTAATGCGAGCTCATCCAAACCAAATCCATTCCCAAGCGCGTCGAGCACGCCATCTGCAAATCGCGGCTTCCAGTGAGCGAGGTCCTAGGCACATCCAAAACGTGGCGCACCATGAGCTTCACCATGACACACAATAAGATGTCTGGATGTCTGGGGGTCTGGCATCGTGTGCGGTCTGGCCCGCACATCAAAAATGATCGGGCGCTCAAGCCACGGCAGCATGAAGTGCACACCTCGGCGCATCTCGGAACATCCGCCGGCGTGCGCGACGGCTCGTGTGCAGTGCGGACTGCTCTGGGGCCAGCACCCTCCCTGTATGTGCCAGCGCCAACGCCCGAAAGGCGGCTGTACTGCGAAGTCGCTCTTAGCAAAGGCTGCTCAAACGCGCTTCTGCGGTTGTCTCGTGCTCGCTGGCACCCCACTTGCTCTTGCCATCTCCCTCTCTCTCTCTCTCTTTTTCTTTTCTCTCTCTCTCTCTCTCTCTCTCTCTCTCTTTGGCTCTCCGCTCCTTCAGCGACATGTGTCCGGCGTCCACCGTGTACATGGCATTGCTCGCCAGGTATCCAGCACCCGCCAAAGCCTACAGCAAAAGGTGTTATTCTTGCCTTGGTGCTCCCTTCTCTTGCCTGGATGAATGAAACATGCAAAAGACATGTGGCCCAACCTCCAAGCACGCGCATTCCTGAGGAAATGACAGCGGCTCCTGCTACTACAGGTCCAGTCTGGGCGGCTCTTTGGAGCCTGGTAGGCATTCAGCCACTGGTGCACATGCATGTTCCCACTAAGGAAGGCTCAACTTCGAAATGTCAAATCGTGACCTCGGCTATGGCGCTGCGAATCTCGCTCTCTCTCTCTCTCTCGCCACAAGGCCGCGGCATCCTCAAGCTTGGGGCACAAAACTGCAGTAAATTCGCTCGGGCCCGCAAAAGCTGCAAGGTCTATAGTCAAGTCACACTTCTGCCATGAGCTGTCCGTGCCAAATCAAGAAGCGAGTCAGCTGTTGAAAACAAGGACCAACTTAACGCATCATCGACATTACTTAGCTGCCAGTAGCGGCGACCATTTGGTCAGTGTACACAGCGAATTTACCCGGAAGACCATCATACCAATCAGGAGTACCCCCAAATCTTTCATTCGGCTGATTAAAGATGGCGATCAATGATCAATCTGAAAAATATGGGTTCGACAAACGCCCGAAGCAATGGCACGGGCTGAAGCAGCACGCATTTTGCAGGCTTCTTTGCGGCCCCCCTTCCCCCCGGCCCGCGTGGATGCTGCAGTGCAGCACATGTTTGCCCCTTGGGAAGCAAGAAGCTTCTTGCAGCAGCAGCAGCAGCAGAAACAGCAACAATCAGCACCACTCATCAGGCAGCTCCATGTCAAGCTCCACCAGCTTCTAGGTCAACGTTGCCTGCAGGTGTGCTTTCTGGCAAGCTGCACAGCACAGAGTCGCAAGCAGTGCATGCCAAGCACAACTGCCTGAGCTTGTCTTGCATGCCTTGGAGCCAGCTGTTCGTTCGCAACCAAGCATCAGGCAAGTACTGCACTAAGCCATCTGCCAGCACTTTTTGTCGCAAAGCAGCCACGTCCAACACTTCCTGGCAGACTTTCCAATTGATTAGTGCGTGCCACACGCGCAAATAAAACTCGGGTTGTCCTTGAGGGCAGGGAGCACGTCTGTTATGTTCTGCACGTAAAGAAGATTCTGGAGAAAGGCATGGTCACACTGTGGGCCCGTGCACACACACACACATGCATCAACATAAAAGCAAATACCCGCAAAAAACATTCCGCGCCTGCAACAAAGTCACCTGAGCAAGGTGGAATTTGTCAGGGAACATCTCACACACACACAGAAAAACTACACTATTGAATGGCAACACACGCACACACACACAGAGAGAGAGAGAGAGCATGCTGCAGTAGGTGTGGGGCAATGCGATGGGCTGCAACATGCTCATCACACAGCTTGACAAGCGCTTCAGCACCTCGATTCACTCGCAGACCTTTACCATACCTTCCCTACACTTGGGCTTTCTACCTGAGTCACAATCAGAACCTGGTACTAAAATGGTGTGCCCAAACCAATCTAAGAACTACAAAGGCGGCCGCAGCTAATTCTGGCTGGGATTTTCCCTTACTAAGCTTCACTTACCCGAGTTTTGAGTATGGCCCACCTGAGGGCCTTGCACGGCAGAAGTTCTTGCGTTGAACATCTCATGGCGGAAGCAAGTGACTGTAGCAAGTCCGCCTGCTCGCGATGTGACCAGCAAGCATGCAAACCACAGGCTACCCTGAAACCAGAGGGTACCCTGCCAGCAAAACGCTCCATGATTTGGAGTGCCCTGAAAAGATTTAAAAGCATACAGCAGTTGCCAGTCGTATTCACTTTGGTACAAATCCTCCAGCTATGCATAACGCAAAGCGCTTTTGGATGGTGTTGGTTCTAGGTCTGCCAAAAAAACAAAAACAAAAAAGCAAAAAGCCGAAAACTTGAAAAACCCGTCCCACCGGAGTGGACTCGAACCACCATAGTCATGAGTTCCGACATGTCTGCCATCTCATCCTCTGTCATTCAATTGGAAAACACGACTTCAACGTGGCCAATCAATTGACCAAAAGCATCTTAATTCGACGAAATTATAAAGCAGTCGAAAGACTTCCCTCAATTGCACACAGCTGCCTGGCAGTTGTTGGTCTCTGCAAGCTCTGCCATTCTCAAGTTGAGTGTGCCTGAACAGGGTAAAGTACGCACTGCAGGCTTGTATCGAGCAACACTCCCAGGAGCCTGCGCTGGCCTGCCAAGACTCACGATTGTGCAGTGAGCACAACGCTTGTAAAGTGGCCTGTTGCTCAGTGCACCTCAGTCACATCTGAGCCCGATTCAAGTGTGGATCCGTTTGCGCCACATGCGGATTGGGCCTCCAGCTTCATGCAAAGTCTTTGCACTTCTTCCAGCGCCTAGGGGGTCTAGGGGGGGGGGGGGGGGGGGGGGGGTCTAGGGGGTCTGGGGGTCTGGGGGGTCTGGGGGGTCTAGGGGGTCTAGGGGGTCTAGGGGGTCTAGGGGGTCTAGGGGGTCTAGGGGTCTAGGGGGTCTAGGGGGTCTAGGGGGTCTAGGGGGTCTAGGGGGTCTAGGGGGTCTAGGGGTCTAGGGGGTCTAGGGGGGGGGTCTAGGGGGTCTAGGGGGTCTAGGGGGTCTAGGGGGTCTAGGGGGTCTAGGGGGTCTAGGGGGTCTAGGGGGTCTAGGGGGTCTAGGGGGTCTAGGGGGTCTAGGGGGTCTAGGGGGTCTAGGGGGTCTAGGGGGTCTAGGGGGTCTAGGGGGTAACGCATTCGGTGCGCTCAGGTATGCGGTGTGTTGCATCTGAGCTCGCGCAGTCTTTGGGCCTGGCCTTCTCTGGTGGCAGCGCACCATGAAGCTCCTCGGCTGATGGCGCGTCTTCGCATCGGCTGCCCTTCACACCTCCAGCGCTGCCAAAGCTCCTCTCGCAAGCCTCGGGCAAAAGGTCCCGTAGGATTCCGGGCGAAAACAGTTCCCAACACCAGCACCTTCTCAGAACACGGCTTCACCATCTCGGCTGTGTCAGGACTGGCACGCCCCATGCCCTTTCTCCTGCTCTCTCCGATTCGATTCAATGAAGCGGCATCTTCCAACCGAGGCCTGGAGTCTGAGAGACGGCGTACCTGTGACAGTCAGGCGCAAGGCAAGATTGGCCAATGACAGCTTTTCACAGTGCTGGCCTGGGACACAAGCCCGGCAATATCCGTGACTTGAAGCAGCCTTCGCCGCACAACTTTGAGTTCCAACCAAGGTAACCGAGGAAAGCGCAGGTTTGATACAAAAAAACACGTGAACCGCTAGCTTGGCTGCATCAAACTGGTTGTGTTGCGTGTCGCGTTGAGCTACTATGCAATGCGCAGTGCGCTGCAGTAGGGGAAAGAGAAAAAAAGAAAGCAAAAAAAGAAGGAAAAAAGAAAAAGAAAAAAAACGCTGAATTGCAGCGCACTTAGGATTGCAAAACACAACACGTGACCGTACTCTCGCACCCCTACAGTAAAGTGTGCGGGGAAATTGAAGCCAAGCTCACGTCAGACGCCCTTTTGGTCTGGCTCCGCAAAGTTCTAACGCAAAGGACGCTTTGGCTAGGGCGAGGGGCTTACAGGGCACAATTCACAAGACAGGTACAAAGTACACAGCACACAGTACATTACACTGTGTCCCCTCACATTGCATCTTAGCGCATCACACTACGCCATATCACATTCCATACATGCTCAAGCTCCTGAGGAAGAAAGTCAAGACACCGAGACGCAAGAAAAAAACTATGGAAGAAGAGCTCGCCGGTCGTCGGGGAGTGCGGCAGCACCTTTATTGCGCACGCACTTCAGGAACGTCTTGGTTCAAACACTGACTCACACACACACGCAGTGCATCTAATTGGTGGATCGCTGGCTTCTAGTGGGCCCGACAAGTTTGAGATTGCCGCCGGCGTCGGCTATAGATCGCTGTTGAGAGCAAGCATGACAACGCGCCAGATTGCAGTAGCATATCAATGAAGCCATGACCAGGAATGTTCTATCCAGCTCAAGCAAATATTTAAAGATGAAGGAATAATTGTCTGAACCACTGTGATTAGCACCTTGAAGCTTGATTCGCATCATGCTCATGTTAGACCAAGCCCCTTGGGCAAGCACGTCGTGCGTGGCCGCGCGCCACGCGTCTCCAAACCCTTCGCGGTGCACCTGCACAGCTCCATGAGCAGCTCGATCAGGTCCGACTTGCACACGGCCTCCTGGCCAGTTGCTGCCACAGGTCTGGCAGTTTTCGTTCGGCTCCAGCTGCCGAACACCCGCTTTGAAGACTCCAACATTTGTTGCTTGCCAAGCCCAATGTGACACTCTGCATCTCCTCCACTGCCTGAGCATCAAGGCCAAGTCGGGCCAGCTCCTCGCGAACGAGCACGTGAACCGCGACGCGGCAGCTTTCCAGGGCCTTGTCTCGCCGAATGAGACTGCGAGTGTCCACAGCCTTCCAGGCCTTGCGCGCCTGTCCGGCTGTGCACATGTAGCAAGCGCCATAGGTGGCCTTTTGGAAGAATAGATGGCCATGGTACATGGAATAGACCCCATCCAAACCAGTGGAACCCATCTATTTTTAACCAAGCAAACCTACAAAGGACACCTATGGCAAGCGCACGATGCAGCAAATTCACACTGCCTCCACTAGATCCTCCTGCAGTTTGAGCGCCTGGTAACACGTTTCACGCAGACTGAGCACCGATGGTGCCACAACACAACCTCAACAGCTTCAAACACGCAACGAAGATTGGCTCAAATGGCGATACCTGTTCATCGCAAGTTTGAGCCTATCAGCAAATAGCGCGATCTGTTTGTCTTTGGGTGACTAGTTCAGTTTAGCCCGCGTCAGCCCTTCAAACCTCAATGTGTTGACCATTAGCTGCTCTGGCAGAAGCCGTTGAGCGCATGCACGACAAGTAGGGCATGCAAAGCAGGCCGCCTCCCGCTGCCATCGTGAACCACTCGGCTCCCTGGCGAATTCTCAAGCAAATATCTCCAGTCGCCTCTGAGTTGCTGCTCTGAGTCGCCTCTCCAACTGGAGTGCTGCTCTAAGTTGCTCCACCTGCTCCTGGACAAGTACAACCATCAATCTTCCCGCGCAACACTTGCAGCATGCAATCGGCGCCTGAGCCACTTGCAGCGACACGGAGAGGGTGTTCACCTGATACAACAGCTGCGCAGGAGGCAAGAAACGTCATGGTCGCAGTCTTGATCGAGAGCCAGCCTCTGCAGCGTGGCGAAGCCGAACTGTCTTCAGCTGCTCCTTTCCAAACAGCAAGCTCACTTTCAAGTCAAGTCAAACAAAGTCTTCGCATATCTTCGGATCCTCCAAATCCGCGCGAGTCTCTCTTTCCTGGTCTAACGCCTCTGCATTTGACAAGACGCAAGGCTGACGTAAGTCTGACGCATCTGAAAAGCGAAACGGCCTGGGCTGCATCTGCAGCCCGGGAAGCACAGGCACACTTCTCAGACATGTCCTGGCAAGGGTGGATCGGACGGTTGTCAACGGCTGGAACCCGACCTTGACTGGAATCTCTCGCGAGTTGATGGCCTGCCATTCTCAAAGTGGATGCGGCACGGTTCCAATACTTCTGATTGCGCTACGTCTCCCTGCTAAAGAGACAAACTCAGGACCAAATCTGTGACAGTGAGAACGGAAACAATTTGTCTCATGCAAACATCAATGTCTACTTAATTTAATTAAAAGCTTAAGGTGAAACAACATTCATCGGATAGTCTCAAAGCACAAAAGCACACACGCACGAACGCACGCACACGCACACACGCACACGCACACGCACACGCACACGCACACGCACACCCACACCCACACACACACACACCCACACACACACACACCCACACACACACACACACACAGCCACCCACGCACGCACGCACGCACGCACGCACGCACGCACGCACGCACGCACGCACGTACGCACGCACGCACCCACACACACACACACACCCACACGCACACGCACACCCACACCCACATCCACACCCACCCACACCCACACGCACACGCACACGCACACGCACAGGCACACGCACACACATATATATATATATATAAACACATACACGCGAGCACATTCTGGCCTTTGTGTCCAACACAGGGCGCAACTCAATGGTGGGGCCCACCACTAAAATATGTGTGGCATGTCTAGCACACCTGTTCCAACGAGCGAGCGCGAATCACATGGCGTGTCTCTATAGGCTGACATGCGATGTGGTTCCTGCGGCAGAAAAGGAAACAAACCAGGACTGTTGCAAATGGTTGTGGCTCAAAATTAAATGGCTAGGGTTACGCTGGTTTTAGTCTTTGGTTACATTTACCAGGCGGCATGTTTGTAGGGGGCTGTTAGCTAGCGCGAAGTTAGCACAAAGCAAGCGCGCCAAAAATTGCAAACATTCGGCGGTGAGAAAAGCATCTCGCAAGTTCGAACATGTGAGGGACCAGTGACCAATGTGTCAGCAGACAAGGGATCAAAACTTTACGAGATCAGATGACTGCCCCTCTGTATGTCCCCCTTGGCAATGCAGCCAAACACTAAAAAATCTTCAGATCTGATCTGAGGATATCGCTGCTGTCGAACAAGGTTCGCCACTAACTGGCCATTCCCAGCTCGCGACTCCTCACCTCTGTCTGGCGCAGTTTCTCCTCCGCCTGCTCCAACCGGAAACTCAGAGAATGTACCTTGGGCCACGCTTTCCGGGACACTCTGCTTTGAAAGTATTGAATGTCGATTCTTAGAAACATTGAAGCTTGAAGTGGGCTCAACAGTAGCGCGCCTGCTTTCTCAGCGAGGAGGCTTCGACCTCATTTGACGAGGCGCGCCTAGTTGCGGGGCCTGGGTCAAAAAGGGGGGCCTGTCGTTCAAAAGGTTTGAGGGCTCAGCGCTTTGGCTTTTAAAGGGCCTTTCAGACCCATCACTATCAGTGGGTTTGCTCGAAACCAGCTCTGCATCAAACAAAGTGAGAAACAACAAGACTAGACAGGAGTGGAGTTAAGTAGGAATGAGTAAATGCATGGAACATTGAGAGACCAGACTGCAAGAAGCTGCAGGAAGCGTGCAAACCGCAAGGCAGTGTTAGCATTGGCGAGTGATGTCATGTAAGACGATCACCAGCCGAGAGCATGACTTTGGCACTCGGACTTGGGACATACAAGCTTCGGATTTTGCCGAGCCAGTGAAACACCTAACATGATTTTATTTACACAGCTTGAACCTACTGCACTTCCCCTTTGAACCTGGAGCACTCATATGGGACTCTTATGCAGCCAAAGTCCTCCAATGGTACCAGCCTTCGAAGGCATGCTGCTTGCTCTTCGCGAAGCTTCTGAGTTGCTCGGAGCGCCTAGGACTTTAGTCGAGCCATACCCCTGGCGATTCAGTTATGCGCCTGTGTCAAATTGGTCAGTTCCTCTTGGAGAAATGACCAAGACTTGATCCTGCACACCTCGCACAGGTCAGCTCCAAAACGTCACAACTCAAATGAGTCAAATATGCGGCATATGCACAAAATGCGCATGCAGGATCCACTGAGGCCAGTGGCCGGGAGTGCTCCAGACCTGAGTCGAGACCCTTCAACTTTCGCTGCATTGCCATCAGGCTGCCGACACGGAGACGTCTGACGCAGAGACCTGACATGGCTGTCATTGCCACATGCCACATGCCACTCCAACACTTGCCGCATGCACTGCGAGCCTCTAGGCTGTGCGGTGCCGCTGCCGGGCCTTGCGTCAAATGTAACAGTGTCGCGTGCCACGTGTCGCGTGTGGATGTGTCAAGCAAGGCCTCCTGGCCCGCTTGAGCCAAGCCTCAGGCAATGCTAGCTGACTCTAGGGCAGATTCGCCATGCCGACCATGCCATTCGACAGACGTGGTTCACATCTTCAAAAACTAAAGCATCAAGGTTGGGACGGACTCGGCGCTCCCCAGTCCTGAAGCTTGAAAGGTCCTTCTGCATCTTGCTCAAAGCAAAGCAGCAAAGCAGACATGCAGCAAATCAGCCAACTAAGCATGCCAAGGCCCAGTCACTGTGAAAGTCTTCGGACACCTCGCTCATGTTGGAAGCGCCGTGGCCCTGATTTCCCTGGGAGAACTCAACGGCACGCTGAAGTAGGCCGTTGCAAGCCCCGTGCCTCCGCAAGCCCGACGCGGAGCCTCTGTCCACCTCAAACACGCGACAGATCCCAATGCATTCAGTTTCCCTCTACTTGGTGGTTTGGATTGGTGGCTCAGTGGGGCTTAGGGGGAAACTTTTTTTTGGAGAGCTTTTCCCTCTCCTCTGCAAGAACCAGGGGTTCAAGCCCCCAAACCACCAATCCAAATCACCAGTTAAGGATGCCTGATGGTCCACACTGCAAAATGGTGTCATGTCAGATCAGTCCTCTTAGGAGTCCTATTCTTTATTTCATCTTGACCGGTCTCAAACAACAACGCAACCTGTCGGAAAACAAACACTGTAAAGAATTAGTGTTTTTTTTAATTGCACTGTCTGCTTCTTATCCCTGGTTCTTTGGACAGGTCTCAACCTTTCGTGGGCCTTCGATTGCAAAAAAAAAAAAAAAACGCGTCTTCACTGAACCTCTGAACCAAAACACAAAAACTGCAAAAATACAAGTCGTGCACACGATGAACATGTGAAAACGTCGAGAATCTACAGACGCCTGGCAAAACAAAGACACAAAACATGCGAAACACACAAACACCTCCTCCAGAACAGCAAGCATGCAACAAAAACAAAAAAGGAAACCAAAGCCCCAGATGAGACAGAACTCAAAAACACGAAAAGATAAATGTGCAAAAACGGGAGAATCAAACAACAAAGCGAAAACGCGGAAACCGCAAAACGGGTCAAACAGTACGAAAGCATGAAACTACGAAAATGCGCGAAACGGGCCTGTAGAACTCTCGAAAACAAAAACGAAAGCGGGAAAGCGGGAGAATGGAAAAACGAGAAAATGTCAGAACGGTCAAAACGATGTGCTCATTCTCTTGTTTCTGTTGTCCTGTTTCTCCCCCCACTTACGAGCTCCTGTGTGGCTCTCCCCATGTTTTTGGGTATGGTGGTAAGGCTCTCAAAGGAAGCTTAACAAGAACTCGACAGGCCTTTTCGGAAAAGGACGATGTCCGAGAGCCTTTATCAAGCAACAAAACGGCAAGTACATCTCAGTCCGACTCGTTCTGCATTACCCATCGTAAGAACCTTGCCGTTAAAGCCGGCAGAGCCGGAGGGCAGAGCTTTCATATGCAAACTATGGAACAGAAAGGTACAACATTTGGGAGTGAATGGGATGGCCAGCAGACCGTTAATCCTGATACTGAAAGGCATTCAGCGTAAAAGATAGACAACAAATGCGACTTGAAGATAAACAGGCATCGGAAATCAAGGGAACTGTCTTATGTGGTATGACTCTGAGACTTTATTATGGGAGGTGCTTGAGAAACAGGAAAAAGGCAAGGAGAAAGAAGCATCCAGAAAGTGATGGATGCGAGGGACTGGACGGAAACACTACAGCTGGCAAAACGCTTCTTTTCCCCCTCTCTCCCCCTGGGAGGTCTTTCTCTCTCTTCTCTTTCTCTATCTCTTTTCTGTCCCTCTCTCTTTCATTTTCTCTGCTTCTGTCTCTGTCTCTTTTTACCTTTCTCTTCTTCAATCTTGTTTGCTTTCTCTTTCTCTCTCCCTCTCGCTCTCTCTCTCTCTCTCTCTCTCTCTTCCTTCTTTTTGTCTTCTTCTTCTTTCTCTTTGTTTCTTTCTGCTCGTCGCATTCTTTCTGCTTTTCCTCTTCCTCCTCTTTCTCTTCCCTTCCTCGTTGCACGGGCTGAAACGCAAACAAAACCCTAGCTTTTTGAGGTCAATCCAACGAAGGTCCGCAGAGGGCAGCGGGAGCTTCCCGGGCAGCAAAACTCAATTGCATCCCCAGCGCCGTATAAGAAATCAGTCCATTGTGTGTTTAATAGGGCTTGTAAAGACCACTCCGGAGCCATGGGGCTCACTTTGTCTTAGCGAAGAGGTCCGTCAACCGAAAAAGCCGTTAAGAAACTGAGCTCTGAATTTCTTAGCAGACAATGGCCTGTCAACTGACAAGGCCAGGGCGCAATTTCCTAACGAAGAGGCCGTCAACCGAAAAAAGCCGCCGCTAAGAGACCCGGATGTCTTAGGCTCTGATGCAGTGATTAAATGTCCGCTTTGTGTGCAATATGCTATGAAAACGCAGTAACACAGAAGCATTACAAACATCATGTACCACAATTGCACAATGTCAGCTTGGATGTGTTGTGTACGCTGTGCAAATTTTGCAAGTATCTTTCTTCAGCATTGAGGAGCAGGCCATGACCCGCCGAAGCCGGGGAGTCCGCCCTGAGTCGATGTCAGAATTTTTGCAAGTACTAGTACCAGGCAATCAGAATCGCTGCCAATGCCTATCATTCACAGGTGTTTCATTGTCGCTCCTGACAACAAGTCGGACGACACACTCCTCGCATCACACAGGCAGGTCATATCTTCCTGAAGTCGCGCGAGTCAACGCTTTGCAGCTCCATGGACGCTTCACCTATGCGCGCAAGGGCAGCGTTGCTCGGTGATTTTGGGCAAAGCACGTGCTTAAGGCCTGCCTTCTTGGTTCTTCACTTTGGACCTGGCGACCAGCAGACTCAGAGGCTCTCGTCTCGTATCCACGAGCTGAGGATCTGAGTTCTGAACATGCCCATGGCCCTTTGTGCCTCGGAGCTGCTTGAGTCAGGTTGCAACTGTTTGCTCCGGCGATGCACGCGTTACATTTTTGAAACGCAAAACGCTTGAGAAGGTCTAGCTCGTGGGAGAGGCATGTTTCCGGGGTAGATTGCAGTAGCCGCCATTCGAACACACGACTCTTGAGTCAGGGAAGCCGAGGCGCATAGATGCCATAGAGTCACTATCTTAAAGAAATTGGAGACACCAAATGCGCCATAGGCTTGATGCACCAGACGCGATAAAATGTCTTTTTGGCCAACGTCAGCCACGTAGCTGGCTTCCACTAGAAGGAGCAGCAAGCTCAGCGCTTTGCAAGAACAAAAATGCGACGACTGCCACCTGCAGCTGCAAAGCTTTGGGCTACGCCAGCCATTGCCCCACTAACGTTGGATGGCAAAAGGGGCATCCAATCTGGGGTCCCTGGCAGGTTGGGGAGAAGCGGCGATTCTGATTCTGGCAAATTATTTAGCCATTTTAGAAAACAAATGATACAAACCATAGTCGGCATTGGAGCCCTTGGAACTATGCTAGACGCTAGCTCTAGTGATTAGGCGATGGGGCAATGAAATATACCGACTATGGCATTCGTTCCATCTTGCCTAACCGCAGTTGCAGTTGGCTTTGCAACGAGGGCGTCAGTCAAGGTTTGCACGGCCAAACAAAGCCCCCAAACATGAGAAACGGTTCCATTTTTAGGTTCCCACTGTACTGGAAATTTGCATTAACCTCGCAGACATACTTAGACAGGCAAACAGCAAACACAGGCAGAGAAACCATGCAAACGAAGCTTCTGCTGCTTGCCGTTTCATGGTGAGATGTTGTGCCGGAAACTTGTTCCAAACTCAAAGTTCAACTGTCTGTCAACTTCTGCTTGCACAAAGCTAGGCATGCTGCATCTGTCACATTCAGCCGGGCATATGTTTGCTGAACACCTGCAGCCAGCAAACAGCAAAGCAGGCAGTGAATCTTCAAACACACAATATATGCGCAGTGTCTTGCGCCTGACCTCACTGCAACCTTCCAAGCCAACTCACAGTCTGGTCTGGCCGCCTGACTCGGAGCGAGGAGTCGACCTATACCAAGGTACCAAAGAGACATCCACACAAAATTCAGAAGGCTCACATCAAGCTCGCATGCTGCAAGCCAAGGTCGCCGCGTTGCCGACCAAGGAGAACCTTCGGAAGGCTCCTGAAAGAGCTGTCTGCTCTAGGCAAGCGCTCTATCGGTCCATCTTCCTTGGGCGGTGGCTCCATGTCACCCTGAAGCGCACACAATGACAAATGAAGACTTGCAGGGGACCAACCTCAGAGCTGGCCACCATCGAGGAGACGAAGCTGGCATCACCGTCCTCCCAAGCTGACATGCACGGCCCACATTCCCCCGGCTGCCCCACGGTCCGCATCGGCACCACCTCAAATACATCAGGCCGCTCTATGCAGCTGAACACAAACAAAACCGGCCTCCGTCAGCATCCTTCTCACTTTGATCCTTATCCTACAAAGCAACTGCGCTCCCAGCGCGCATGGGGTTTGTCGTGCGCGCCTCTTGCGCTTTGCTCCGGTGCTCTTCCAGCAGGGCTCTAAAGCGGGAATCCTGTCAATTTCCAAGGCATCACAGTGCCGGCACGGACAGCAGGCGTGCGGAAGGATGATCCCAGGAGCTCTCTTCTGTCTCAAAGTTGAAGTAGAAGACCTGCACAAGCATAGAAGATGGGCGAGGCAACTGGGACTGCAGGCCTCCCCCTTCTCTGTGCAAGTCTTCCACCTTGCGAAAGGGCGTTCCAGACGCCCTCACGCTTTGAAACCCATCAGCTCAGGCGCTTGCGGATGCGGAACTGGCGCAGCAACTCCATCCCGTGCTATCCACAGCAAATGCCTCCAGGGATCTGCCGCCGTTCACTGCCATGCACCACCATGCACCATGATGTACCTTGCATGCCAACCTGGCGACATTCTGAACCTCCCCTTCAGCCCGCTCATGCGCCTTTCTTTGTCGAGGTCCATCCCCAAAAACTCCGCATATTCCAGCACCTGCCAAATGTCGCCAAGACGCACTCAACCCAACCATGCAATCTGCCAAGGCCTGTTCTTCAGTCGGCTCCTCATCCTCCCGGCCAGGTCCCACCCGCAAACTCAAGGCAAACTGAACAAAGTCTGTCCTCATCCTCAAGAATCTCGATCTCAGACCTGTCTCACATGTCAAGGGAGCCATGGCTACAAGCGAAACGACATTAATTTTGAGTTCCACCTGTTAACTTGCTTATGTTGCCGAAATTGGCTCAAAATAAGTGTTCTGGACCTCTGGAGAAGGGGCAAAACCAAATAAGTGTTCATGAAATTCTGTCAACGATTCATAAACACTTATTGACAAAAAGGGCTGAAAATTAGGTGATTTCAACGATTTCAGAACAGACACAACCTGGCAGGATCCAGCGCACACCTGCACAAACGCTGCTTTTTTACCGGCCGCTCCAGATGCTCATGTCTGATGGATGGTCAGGTCCCCCCTAAGCCTTCAAAGGGCTTTAATTGCAGCATGGCTCAAACAAATGTGTATTTTGAAGGATGGTGGACTTGTGGATGGGTTTGGATTGGTCCTGATAGGTTTGGATTGGTCCTGATGGGTCCTGATGTACTTTGAAGGGTGGTCTTGATGGGTCTGGATTGGTCCTTGGTCTGGTCTGGATTCTGGAAACTTTTGAGCACTGCTGCCACTACCAAGTCAGTCAAACATCCGGCTATTGTTGCCAGTTGTCAACTGAGCCCACCCCAAAAAAAAGGAGTGGCGTTCAGGAGGTCCTCAAGACTTTCATCAAATGACGTTGAAGTGATTTCATTTTCCTGAGTTCGTGTACAAGGGAACCCCCGATCCCGCCACCCCACCCCATGATGGCATTCATGACTTAGTCACCATCATTGACCGCAAGTCCATGGATGAGGTGTCAGCGCCCCTCTTCTTGCCAACTTGCGGCTTCGCCTTCCCCTTCGCCTTCGCCTTCGCCGTGGCAGCGATTGCCTTGACCTGCTCCGACTTGTGTTTCCTCAAGCAATCACGGGCGTTGCAGCAATGCAAGAAAACATCCACAGTCGCAGTCACGCAGTGCGGGCTGCAGAAAATCCAAACGGACTAATATGGCAAAACAGAAAGTATATACTAAGTATAACTCCGATCAGTCGGTCAAACAAAGTGTCTTCTCTTTGGCCTCTTTGTTCTCCTTCACCTTCTTCTGTTTCTTCTCCTTCTTGGGGAACTCCTTCATGACTTCGTCCGCCTTGGCGTCCTCGGCCTCGTCCGCCTTGGCGTCCTCGGCCTCGGCACCCGCATCCATCCGCGGATCATCGCCGTTGGTCAACGCCAAAGCAGTGGCCTCCTCATCCATGAAGCTCGCAAGCTCTGGAATGTCGCCCCCACTCGCCACCTGGCCGGTAAGGGCATCCACCGATCTGGGCCGACCCAGCCCCCCGCCCAGACCCTGCCGTTTGACCCCCCTCGCCTTGGCGGCCAACTCCGCCACTGTGGGCTCAGCAGCGCAAGCGGCCATGGGATCTGCAGCAGCGTCATCACCGCCGCACGGGCCGCGCTCCACCTTTATCGGACACACACGCGGACCGGCAAAGCAAAGCAAAATCGATCCAAATAAAACTCAGTGGTCAGTAATCAGTGCGGTCAGTGATCTGATCATCATCAGGCATTAGGCATTTTGGAAGACACAAAACGATCAGTCGCATACCTGACCTAAATGGTGTGCTAGGCTAGGGCCAACCAGGGTGCCGCAGCCGGGGGTGCCGCAGCCACCGAAGCAGGCGCAGGTTCCGGCTGCGGCTGCTCCTGGCGTCCGTCACCTTGGGGATGCTCTGGCTCCAGCGTCTCCAGCATGGTATCCGCCTCCGCGCTTCCACCAAGATGTTTGCTGGGCACGCTGGACTTCGATGCCTCCTTGCGGGTATGCCACTCACGCCACGGTAACGACACGTCTAGGTTGCAAAGTCGAGCTAGGAATGATATCATCGGGATGCAGTTATGTGTGAGGTGAGAGAGGCATGGAACAATGGTTTGAACTTCTGAACGTGGAAAAATGGCGAATAATCATCCGGGAAATTCCTATTCAAATTCAGAGTCAGTTTATCCAGATTCCCATATAATTAAATTGTCTATGTTTTACTGGCGTGTCAGTGCCATCAAATGTATCGCCATAATGTGTTACAATATAGTCAACAGCGCTGACTGACTGACTGACTGACTGACTGAATGATCCCAAACCCATGTGGAGAAAAGGGAGCCCCTGGCCTGGCCCCTGGCCCCTTGCCCTCGCCCCTCGCCCCCGCACATTTGTTTGGCTATTTCTCCAAGGCTGGCGGCACCGGAACAGGAACATATGATTTGCCCACCACCTGATCCAAATCCCAAACCCCAGTAGCACAGTGGCAGTTGCGGGAGTGGGAGTGGCTGAGTGGTGAAGTGACAAGTGGTCAGTGATGTCAGTGGTGAGTGGCACCGTTGAAAAGTCTTCAAACAAATCAAAACCTAAAACATCCTAGTTAATTACCAGTGTGAGGAGTGTCGGAGTGAGTCTGAGTCTGAGGAGGGTGGGTGGGGGTGGGGGTGCAAATCGTGCAAACACATTAGACGACACACGTACTGCGCAGTATACTAAAACACGGGTGTGTCCGGGTGTGTCGGCGTCGTCGGGTGTTTTAGTTTTTTCCATACGTCCCATACGTGCCATACGTCGTAAAACAAACAAGCCGTTGGCAACGTGTGCCGCGCTGGGTGCCAGGTGCTCGGCCCATCCCGCCTTCTCAGGAACCTCAGACCCACCCAGGCCAGCATCTGCGGCAGCCGCCGTTGCAGCCAGCACCGGGGCAGCTGGCTGCGGGGCAGGAGAAGGACGGCTGGTCGACGGATTCGAGGCCAAAGCGTCGGCTTCATCGGCATCGGCCTGCATGTTTCGGACCTACCTACCTACCTACCTACTCCCTGGGGGGGATGTGGCTGCCGGTAGGTAGTAGTACAGTAGCGCCCGGGAAATTGACTAGAGTCTCAATCTCAGAGTCTATCAAGCTCATTCACTGGGATGGGATTCATTCACTCACTGGATTTCACCCAAGGCAAGCAAGGATGGCTGGGCTGAGGTAAAGATCGAATAGATAGATGATAGGATTCGTGATGAGCAACTTACTCAATCCCAACCAACTCTCAAACCCAAGTTCCCGGTCTGTATCTCACTCAGTATTTGATATGAATGGATGTGGGAGCCCTTTGGGCCTTTGGGGTTGGATTTCAAACCCAAATCCAATGTCCAGAGTCTAATGACTAATGACAGATTCATTCAAATTCAAGGGTCCGGTCGACGGTCGAATCATGTTTCCTGTTTTGCATCATTCATCAGACATCACACCATTAGTCTTATGAGTCTTGTGTCACACATGAATCATAGAATTCATTGAATGAGAATTAGATTAGAACATTCGGAATTCCTTTCAAATGCGACCGCAACAGACAGAAAGCGGGGCGACGCGCCATCAGCCTTGCCTCCTCCTGGTTCGGGTCTTCCGGCTCCATCTTCACGCCGTCCATCGGGAGACCCGCCATGATCACCCGGTCTTTCTCCACATACTCCTCCGGGTCTAAGTCCGGCAAGACTTTCTTGAGAAGCTCCATCGACGGAGAGGGGCGCACCTGAGCGACACTCAAAGCCATCCAGCCAGGCCACAGCCAAACAAATTCCCAACGTAACGCGACGCGAGTCAGTCACCGCTTATTTATTACTTATGGAACAGCTCACACCCCGCCCCTGCCAAACAGCCACCAAAAAAACGGAAGGGCAGGGCGAATGGCAAAGTTGTGCGAATAGTCAGAGTCAAAAATTGACATTGGGGTGCGGGTGTGGGGCCCGGGTTCAAATAGTGATAGATTAACCCCGTCCTATGACTGTCACGGGCCACGGCGGCCACGGGCCAGTGGGGGCCAGCTCTTTTTTTTTTTTTATCTCATGGCGTCGATCGCCGATCGCATCCAGTTCTCGCTGTCAGCTGCATTCGCAGCATTCACAGATGCAGATACACATGAGCGAGCGGTGAACACTGCGACTGACTCACTTGGGTTGTTTCGACTTCGGGACTTCAAATTCAAATGGTTCACTACAACATCATTCCGGGATTCCTGAGGGCTTGCGACACACTGTTGTCGTATCTGATCTGATCTTGTCTTTTTGAGTTCAGCCTCTCGCTCACATGCAGATCTGACATCAGACCTCAGGTCTTCACGTCACCCGTCACGGCCTTCGTAGCTTCATGGCCTTCATGGCCTTCATGGCCTTCATGGTCTTCATAGTCTTCATAGTCTTCGTTGCCTTCGGCGTGATCGAAAGACATATGCAGTTGAACGTACGAGGGAGCCCTACAGGAAGTGCAAAATGTGAAACGAAGGGCGACCCTTAGTACCTTAGCCTAAACGGTTCGGTTATTCAGATATTCAATTGTTCAAAACAAATATGAACATGAAAATCATGAAAATAACGAAGCCGCAAAGTCTTTACACGGGCTTCATGGCCTTCATGGCCGTCTTGGCCTTTCCAGCTTTCATGGTCTTCATGGCCTTCATGGCCTTCGTGGCTGTTGCAGCCTTCATTGCCTGCCGTGAGTTCAGAAGTCTTGCGAGGTTCATTCAAAGGAGACATCAGTAAGGATAGTGACCCTTAGGCTATAGGCCCTTAGGATACCTGGCTTTTCAGCTATTCAAAACAAATGTGAACATTGACATGATCATGAAATCAATAAATCATGAAATTGACAATCAAATGAGTGAGTCTGAGCCGCCCAAACAAAGTCTTCACACACGGCGGACACACGGCCACACGGCCTTCATGGCCGTCTTGGCCTTTCCAGCCTTCATGGCCTTCATGACCTTCATGGCCTTTGCAGCCTTCATTGCCTGTGGTGAATTCACAAGTCTTATGCGGTTCAAATGCAACATGGAAGGGACTAAGAACTAAGAAGTAAGAAGGAGGACACAAACTCAAAAGGCTAAGACTGGCAAAGAAGCTTTCATCCCCTTCGCAGTCTTCGCAGCGGCTTTCGTGGCCTTCATCGCCTTCATGGCTTTCATCGCTTTCATGGCCTTCATCGCCTGTGATGTGGTGAGTCACCAGTGGTCGGTGAGTTTGAATTTTATAGTAACTCCCCGG